TTTTTTTTTTTTTCTGTTACTGAAAGAAGCCAAAAAGAAACTGAGCTTCATCTGTGACAAGTGCCCTAACTATGACGAAGAACAAAAGAAACAGAAACAAAGTCAATGTAATCAAAAATTAGAGAAGAAACAATAAAATAATTTTTTAATCAACTTTTTTTCATTTTCTTTTGAGACTTTTTCTAGATATTATTTTTTTCCATTTTCAAAATAAAACAAATTTTTTGTTTCTTTTTCAGCTGTATATTATTTTTAAATGTCTTAAAGCTACTGCTTTTGTCTTCGTTTTTGCCTATCTTGACAGTAAACTTGTAAGTAACAAAAAATTGATGAAAAATTAAAACTAACCAGAACGGTCTAGAACATGTCCAAATTCGCACATTAATTCACAGGCGTGTAACTTAGAAAAGATGTTTCTGGATTTACCTGGACAACCGTCATACCAAAATAGTTTACATTTTTTTGTTTTATGATCATAGTAATAATGCTCTCGCCATTGTTCAACACCACATTGATACTGATATTCGACATCAAACTTATCCAAGCATGCATCTGTGGCAAACATGCAATTTATGCGAAATTAAATAGCTGTAAAATAAGATAAAAAAAGAGTAATAAAGAATAAAAAACAGACCAATTTTTTTGGTACAAAAATATCCGTTTCCAGCAAAACCAGGTAAGCATTCACAAATGTAGGATCCAGCAACGTTAACACACTTGGCATTTCTATCACACATTCCTGGTCTTCGAGTACACTCATCAACATCTTCAAATTAAAGCCTTTAACAGCATCAGTGAATAAAGATAATTCATTTCTATTGTTTTAAAAATAATGTTTAAATTTAAAGCACCGGCGTTGTGTACTTAAAGAATCTACAATAATTATTTAACAAACAGAAACCTAGTTGGCTATAGAAATGCGCTTTTAAACTTATGTCTGGCCTGGTAAACCAGAAATAAACTTAGTGTTTTGCATAATTTTGCATAACCAAGACTAAGACAAAGCTGTAATAAAACTTTAATTTATGTTGCTGTCTTACCAGTACAATTAAAACCGTCACCAACAAAACCTTCTTTACAAGTACAGACTCCATGAGAACACGTTGCATTTTTGCTACATCTTTTACAGTCCAGTGTTGAACGTCCTATAAGTGACTAATAAAAGCATAATTTCTTGGCTAAAATTGTTTGGCAGAAAAAACCAAATTGAAGAAGAAAAAACAAACCTACTCCAACAAATGTACAGCGTTTACCATTACCTCTGTAACCAGGTTTACATCTACAAATGTAACTGCCCGGTGTGTTGTAACACTGAGCATTCCGGTCACATAATTTAGACGGTTTTAAACATTCATTAAGATCTAAATAAATTATATGCAATGTCTTTGAGAAGAAGCTACCGTACTTTGTCAAAAGATAGAACTAATTAATTTTTAGATTAAAAAAAGTGTTAATTCAATAATTTGTATCTTTTCAATAAACCTACCAACACATTGACCTGAGCTTAATTTTTGGTAACCTTCACGACATTCACAGGTATAATTATATTTAGAATATTCTTTACAATAGGAAACACGAAGATCACATTTGGAACATGCTAGAATAAATTTTAAAAAAAAATTTAAAATTTAAAATTCAAAAAATTGTTTTAATTTTGCTTGTTTATTTTTATTTTACTTTTACTTTTACAGCAGCTTTACGACAGTTTTGCCACAGTAATTTGATAAAAGGAGACTTGTTACTGGTGTTTTAAAACATACCAAAAAGCAAGAACAAACGTGATAAAAAAAGTATTTATTAGAAATTTTTTTGAGACTAAATTTCTAAAAATAGTTGCTGTATTCAACTGTTTAGTTTAAGAACTCTGCAGCACCTCAACTATTTTCGAAAAGCTATAACTATTTGGTGTAAGTACTGTATGGCTGATATATTACCAATTTTGTGAGGTGACAGTCTTTCAGCACAAACACTTCTGCATTTTTGTAAACTGTAGAAACGATTTGCATTTCCGGCACAGCCACGATAAATAAACGGTTCACATTTACCGGCTTCAGCATTAAAATAATAGTATCGATCACCTGTCCGGTAATTTTCACACTCACCTTTATCAGGTGGTAAAAAACATAACTCTAAAAAAGATGGAACGTGAGCACTATTTTGGCAACTTTGTGCCGCTTTTTTTTTATCTGAATAATAAAAATTATAAAACAATTTATAAACGATTTCACCTTTTTTAGAACAATTAAAGTTTAATTATTGTATAAACAAAATTTTTGAATAACTTTTGTAAATTGATATTTTGATGATTTTTTCATAAACACATGAACAAACCGGGAATTGTGTCAATATTATCCAGCTCGTATAAGCACTGTCTAATGCACTGATTTTTGGTATCAAAACGGTTGAGATTACCAAGACATCCACCATATAGAAATTTCTTACATTTGTTATCTAATTTGTCCCAGTACCATTTAACCTTAAGTAAGATCAGTGCAGAAGAGGCATCTTTATTATCTCAGATACTCCAATTATGTGAAATGT